ACTGGACTCCCCTGTCAGCTGACCGCTCCCTCACTGAGAAGCCAGTATGTCTTGCCATTTTCTTCAGCAGTGGGGGTTGGGGGACTCATTTTAGCCCTGGCTTTTCCCACATCGTAACTAAGAAACCATGGCTGGTTATTTATTTCTCCTTTGCCTCTAAGATGTCCCCGCTATGAATCAGTCCCCACGTCATAGGTTTATTGTGAGAATTAAAGGAGATGGTAGCTGTGAGAAATCCTTTGTAAATATTTATATACTTTATATTTAGCAAATCTCCCCTGACCTCTTCCAGGAGGCTTGCAGGGGGAATAGTGTGACCTTTGCTCTTGTGGTACCGGGCTGGTGAGCCTCGCAGCATCAGTTAGCTGTGCTGGGACTATGCGCAGGAGGGAGTTGGAAGGGGAACGGATGAATGAGGAGGTGACTGGTTTCCAGGTAGCGGGGAAACAAATACCAATTCACGGAGATGCTGTGGAACTGGTCACAGTCTAATAGTGTTGGAGCTCAGGGTAAAATGGAGAGGGTCAGGAAGAAGGGTAGAGGGCGGACAGGACCAGGTTACAAGGAGTCATACATGTATAAGAAACAGAGGGAGGGGGCTGGAGCAATAGTATAGCGGGTAGAGCACTTGCCTTGTACGTGGCCTTCCCAGGTTCAGTGCCGGCATCCCCTGTGTTCTCCTGAGCACCACCGGACGTAAGTCCTGAGTGCAGAGCCAGGGATAAGTCATGAGCCTCTCCAGGTGTGGCCCCCAAAACAAAGGAGATAGAGTTCAGCTTGAAACTGGGTACAGGAGTTCCTCTGCTGCAGTGTGGAGTAAAACCTGGGGGTTTCTTGGAGAGGCTGTCACCATGGAATGAAGGGGAAGATGGGGAGGCAGAATTCACCAGCTTCTGTGAAAAATCAGAGGAGTGGAGAGGGCGGCGTCTGGGGTTCTTGACTGTTATGGTGAATGTTTCTTGTTTGTGTCAGGTTCCACCCTGGCTGGTGCCCCAGTGATGTTTTATTTTATTAGATCAATTAATTTTTGTTGGGGGCCAGGACTGACTGTTCTTAGAGGTTACTCCGAGCTTTGCAGTCACGGATCACTCCCGGAGGTGCTCAGGAGACTTGCTCGATCCCTACTTCTATTAGACCCCAGCATTTTAGTTGCTCAGAAGCATCATTGTGATTGAATGCTACAAGCAAAATATTTTTTACATTTTTGTCTGATTGAAGGCTACTTATTCTATTTAATAATTATTTTTATATATGGGAGCACTCTTGACAGTAATCAGGTCTGACTCCCTCTCTCTGTCTCAAGGATCACTTCTGCCAGTGTTTGGGGGACCATATGGAATACAGGGATTAAACCTAGGTTGGCCAAGGGCCCTATCCACTGTACTATCTCTCCAGCCACAATCCCAGTGTATTTTGACTATTCAATGATTGTATTTTGGGGTCTAGGCATATTTGAGCCACACCCAGCAATGTCCAGGGCCTACTCCTGGCTTTGTGCTTAGAGTGAACTCTAGAGGTGCTCATGGGACCATATGTGGTGCCAGAGATTTGAACCAGGGTCAGTTGCATGCAAAGCAAGTGACTTATCCCCTCTACTACTATCCCTATGGTCCAAGGATCATAATTATTAAACAATGTGATCTAAGCAAAAAGGTAGAATTTTGTCTTTCATCCTACTTTTACTCAGGCATTTGTTCCTGCAAGTAAAGACAGCCCAATATAATTTTATTTAATTCTTTTTGGGAGTTACCTACAGTTAATTAGACATAAATGATACTGCCGTATGTGTCTACTGTACCCCTTTAAGATCTAAACACTCTGGGTTTGAACCTCAATTTTTATATTGCATAACCTGGGTAAGCTGGAAGGCATTCCTGAGATTTCTGAAAGTTCCATGAGAATCTATGCTCACACTTACCTCTGCCTCCAGTCTTCTTTTTCAACTCATATCTAGCCCAATGTCTAATTTCCCTATTCAAGTTTCAACACAACTCTCCTCTCAAGAAAACATCCCTAGAATGGGCACTGGTGGAGGGATGGATATTCGACTATTGTTTGACTGAATTACGAAAGTGTGTAAGTCTGTAATTCTATCTCACAATGTTTCATTAAAATATTGAAAAAATAAATAATTAAAAAATTAAAAAAAAACATCCCCGAGTTTAGTGAACTTTACTAACATCCATAGAGGCACAGAAAGTGGTTACATCAAATGAGCAAAAAACTTTTTCTGGAGCGATAGTGAAGGGATTAAGGTGCTTGTCTTGTATGTGGCTGGTTCAATCCCCAGCACCGTCTTGTATGTGGTTGACCCTGGTTCAATCCCCAGCACTGCATAATGTCCCCCCTGAGCACTGTAAGGTGTGATCCCTGCGTACAGAGCCAGGAGTAAGTCTTGAGCACTGCCAGGTGTGGCCCCAAACTAAAAACAAAACAAAACAAAAAACAAAACAAAATGAAATTATATCCCATTTTGGGCACTCCAATGCTTAAGCTCCCCCTTTTCCGCCAGGTTTGGGAATCTTTCTTCTGCTCCTTTACCATGTAGCACCTCCCCTTACCCCACTAATCTTACTAATCTTTTTCCTTCCCCACCTATCTCTCCACTCATTTGACCAAGTAAATCCCATTTTATCTTCCCCCCCCCCATGAAGCTTTTTTATTCCCCCTCTCCTCTGCACTTACATATCCTTGTTTCTCAAGAGCCTGAGTAGGACAAAATGCCATCTATGCAGCAGGGCTGGTTCTTCTGGGGAGGCAGTTGTGGTCGAGCACCACTTTCGCTGTTCTAGAAACTACCGCGTATCCTATTTATTGAGTGCTTACTCTGCCTGATCCACAAACACTTCCCCCAAAAAGTCTCATTTTCTCATCTAGTTTTCAGTGTCATTTGTACCAACAAAGACAAGTTGTGCGCATCAGAAAAATGAGTTAATTTACAAAGGATTACAAAGGATTAGTAAGCATGTGAGGGGAACAAGGATGAAAAACTTAATTTATCTCACCCCAAACCTATACTCTTCCTACTCTAAATGTGATCTTTCAAGGAGGAGAGTGATCAGAACTGAGGGTACATACATCACACCAAATGCTCTCCCATTGATAACTTTCTTTTTAATTGAATTCTTCCAAATGGTGCTTGGAGGATGGGGGCAGGAGAGTGGGGGTCTTTCCCAGTGATGCTTAGCCAGTTGACCCAGTATCCATGTTTGGACTTGAGAATACGGTGCAGCTTTATCTGGGGACTACCGGCGACTCCAGGGTTGGACCCTGCAATGCTCAGGAGGCCATGTAGTGTTGAGGATTCAGCCTATGCAAGGAATGCACCCCAACCTCTGTCTTCTACCCCCATCCCCTGTTAGACAACTTTAAAAGAATGATTCGATATGTTGTTTTATTTTTCCTGTGAAAAAATAAGCAAATCATTATCAAACCCATTTGGCACTGAGAAAGCTAGGGCTCATGGAAGAGAGGGTGCGAGGGCCAGGCTCTGTCACTGGGGGAGAGAGGGAGTGAGGGGCAGGCGGCACAGGATTCTTGACTTTGAGGCACAGAGGTACTAGTTCTGGATGATGAAAAATCCCTGGGTGGAATCTCGGGGGAGCCAGAGCCTGGGGGTGAAGAGGAGACCAAAGACTGAGGGAGACCCAGGAAGCACAGGGCTGCTGAAGTCACCAGGGGGATGACAGCACAAGCTAGTGAGGACAGTGAGTGGGAAAACAACGGCAGGGACTGGAAAGGAGCCTGGAGAGCAAGATGGAATCTTTGTGTGCGGGTGAGAATGAGGGCACTGAGCCCACCGCTGGCCTGAGGGTACCTGAAAAAAGGAAGAAGCTGCCTCATGGAGGCTGTGAGAGGAGTCTGTGAGGGCGGGCTCAACGAAGATGAGGAGTCACCTGGGCACTCTCTGAGAAGCAGAGGCTGGCCAGGAGCAGGCTCCTCGAGGGCACAGGGGGACAGGCTGACAGGAAAGGGGACCAGGAAGATGAGTGAAGTGAGGAATGGGGAAAGCTTGGGACAGTGCTAGGATGAGTCTGAGAGAGGTGGAACAACACCTGTCAGAGGGTTGTTCCCCAGGCTGGAAAGATAAATTTTATGTACAGTCATGATGGAATTCGTACAAATGGATTTTTGGTATCTGATTCAGGCCTTTAACATTTGGGATGGGAGAGAGTGTCACAAAGGACAATTCCTGAGGTCTCAGGATGACCTGAAGGCTCACCCAACTCATGATGGGAGGCGGGGGCTAACGGCCATCTGTACCTGACCAGGGGGTGGGGGACACCTCTGCAGAGCGAGGCCCCAAGGACCAAACAGGACTAGTCGCTCACTCCAGTCTACTTGTGACCAGTGAACGTTTTCATGTTTTATTTAGCAAGATGAAGATGAGATGGTGACGCTAAGAATTGCCACTCAAGCTGCTGGTGTAGAAAAGAATCAGAGAGTTGAGGAGAGTCAGTCTAGGCCAGAGTGACAGACAAAGCCTGGGTCTGGTGAGAACCAGAAAGGTGAAGAGGGTGGGTAGGGATGCCCCTGCGATGTGGAGGTGTTCTTACAGGCCCCAAGTGTAGAAAACAGATGCGTCCCTCCTTTCTACCACACACACACACACACACACACACACACACACACACACACACACGCGCTGGTTTCTGGTTCCTTCTGAGTGGCATTTCGGAATCAAGGGCGAAGAGCACAATCAGTGCGGGGGTTTCTCCTCTTGCAGTCAGCCCCCCAGGGTCCCTTCCTCCTTGGGTCCTGAGAAGATGGATGGGCCATAGGACCAGGAGCGGGCTTTGAGGACACAGACCGCGGTACCCAGCATCCCTCACCTCCATGATCATCAAAGCTCTCTGATCCCCTGGTCAACCCGTAACATTAAGGGTGGGACTCGGAACAGTCGCCCAGAGACTGGGGGACCAGGGGGTGGGGGACACCTCCGGCGCCCCAGCACCTGGAGGGGCGGGGCTAACGGGGACTCCGCCCCGGGGCGTGGCGGGGGCGGGGCCTGGACGCGGTCGGAGCCCGCGAGCCGAACTGGAGCCTCAGCGCTAAGTCGCCGCCCCGGGGACCCGCCCGCCCCGCGCCTCCCGGTCCGCGCGCCCCGCAGCGTCCAGCTCTCCGCTGCCCAGCCCCGCGCCGCGCCGCGCCGAGAGGAGCCAGCTGCTCGTCCTGCCCCCGGAGTCCAGGTAAGGGGCGGGGGCGCCGAGGGGACCCGTGGAGAAAGGACGCGGGGAGGCCGGGGGAGGGTCCGCTGCAGTGCGCGGCGCGGAGGTGGGGAGGCCTCGAGGGGCGTTCCAAGGGCAGGGGCTGCGGGGATGGGGGGCAGGAACGGGGGCGCCGGCTGGGGGCAACGCCGGGCGGCCGCTGGAGCGCAGTGAGGGGCGCCGGGGGGGCAGGGAAGGGGTGCGGAGACGCCAAGAGGGGCTGTGCCGAGATCTGGGGGCGAGCAGGGGCCAGGGGAGCCGTGGAAGTGAGGGGTCTCGGGGGGGGGGGTGGGAGGGGACCTGCGGGGGTCGCTTGGAGCCCGGGCGGAGGAAGGTGGTGAGGTAGGGGACTCGCGGGAGGAGCGGGGTGGCCGGTGGCCGAGGGGTCGGGGGGCGCCGCCTGGGCCAGGGGGATCAGGATCGAGCGCGAGGGGTGGGGCTCGGAGGTGGACGCCTGGCCAAGGGGAAGGTGGATCGAGGCGATGCGCACCCCGACTGCAGAGGCAGGGGGCGGGGAGGAGCTCTGGCTGGGGTGGTGGTGGGGTGGGGGCGTGAGGGGCTTCGGGGTGAGCTGCGAGCAGGCAGCTGTGAATGCGGATCTGTCCGAGGTCCCGAGGGTTAGGCGGTGGGAACGCCCGGGCAGGTTGGGGGTGGGGGCGGGGGCAAGGGGTAGTGTGCGCGTGAGCAGGGGCCTCTGGAGGGCTTGGGGCCTCAAAGGCTGCTCTGGGGACCCTGTGTGAAAGGGGAGGGGGGTCACTATGGAAAAGGACAGAGGGTGGAGCCCGGTGGCACGTCGGCCAACTCTCCCCACTCCCCCAATCCGAAGGGAAAGGGAGCCCGCGGAAGTGGGTGTGGATGTGCACAGGTGATGCCCACCTGTTCTGTGCCTACTACACAAAGAGGAAGACCCGGGGAGTCTGTCAGAACCGGTCCCCTAGGAAACCCCGCCCTGTGTTCCAGGGAGAGGAGAGACAGTGGTGGGGCTTGGACGGCGGTGGGTATGGGAAACCTTGGTCACCAAAGGTTTGACTGGCCTTGGAGGACAGTAGGGTCAGCAAGAAATCAATTTCTGGTTCCTTAAGGTTTATGATTTGAAGGACAATACCCAGTTAGCTTAAAGGGATGATTAAAACAGGTTCCCCATCCACAATGGGAACTTAGGGTGTGTATTTCCTGGGGCACAGCACAGGTGTCTGTAAATGCTGAGAGAATGGTTGGGCCCTGGTGCCTCAGGGTCCTCACACCTGGCCAAGAATAGGAACAAGCAGACGAGATGGTAGGTGAGGAGAGCCTGGTAGCCCACACAGCACTGTACAAACAGAGAAGCCACGGGTGTCTTTGTGCAGGTGTGCCGGCCTCTGGGGGAGCGAGCACGAGTGTACTGCTGCACCCAGAGTGCCTGGCATTTGGGAGGTGCTCCCTAAATCTAGCCATTACCATGCAGTTTCTGTGGCTCCGAGAGACCTGGAGAAGTGTTTAGGAGGTTGAGGGATGAATTGGCAGTGGGGAAGAGTCTAGGAAAAGGTTGAATTAGAAAAGTTAGGAGAGATAGTACAGTGTGTCCCCTGAGTCCTGCCAGGACTGGTCCCTGAGCACAGAAAAGAGGGTAAGTAAGCCCTGAGCATCGCCAGGTATGACCCTCCAAAAAGAAAAAGGAAAAAAAAAGTCAAGAAAAGTTAGTTGGGTGTTTCTTTCAGGAGGAGGCTGGATGTGGTATGTGAGGTCTGCATTTGCCTGACTTCCTCTTATTTTTACTGAGAGTTGTTTTCAAAAGGAAGATGGAATTACATCTATTGACAGCCAGGGGTTCCAACATCACCTAGAATTCTCTTAACAATCCTTATTTTACTAATGAGGAAACTGGACTTTTGTCATGTAAAATGACTTGTCAGAGTCTCACAGTTATAAGTGATAGAGCTGGAAACTCAGTCTACTGTGTTTGCTTTGGAATCTCAAGCTGTTTCCAACCATCTAGAATCACATGGTAGAGGAAATGAAGCACTAAGAGTTGTGTGTGTGTGTGTGTGTGTGTGTGTGTGTGTGTGTGTGTGTGAAGCGAGGTAGTTTTAATAAAACTTATTTAGAAAGATGTGAGGGAAAGAAAGAGAAGCATGTGCTTGAGAGAGAACACAGAATAGAAATAAGCCAAAAACAGAGAGACAAGCAGGTGAGATACGTGTTTAAGGGAGCGCCAGGTTTAAAGAGCTAGCAAGGTTTTTATTTTTCTTAAAAGAGAGATTATAAAGTGCTTTCCCCTACACTGGTTTTCATTCTTGAAAGCATGTCAGGAGTTGTGTGATTAACTCATTATGGATGAGGCAACTGAGCCAAATGTGATCTGCCTCAGGTCTCCCAACCATCCATTCTTCATCCATTCTTCACCACGTTTATAGTGAATAATGTTCCTTTCCGATGGCTTTTAGGGTTCTCTCCCGTCTGCTCCCTCTCCGCTGGCTTTTTCCTCAGGTCTGTCTTCCGCGTCCACTCCTGCAAGTTGGTGCTTATTTTCCACACCAGCCCACGGGTCAGGGGTGACTTCCCAGATGGTCCCAGGCTTCATCTGCGGTGCCAGTCACGGAGACGCCGAGTCTGTCCGGGGACCGTCACTGAGCGAAGGCAGATCTGACGGCCGCTTATCTGACAGACGCTGCTCTGCGCGCGCCTCTCGCGGCGCCCTGTCTGTCAGAGCCGCCTGAGGCGGCCGAGCGCGGCTGCCGGGTGCCTGTCGCGCGCGTCAGGGCAGCGTTGCCCGCTCCAGAGGAGAGCCCGGGGCGTCGCTGTGCAGGCGCCTTCCACCGCACCTGCCGCCCTCCGCTGCTGCCCGCTCCCACCCTTTCCTGCCCCACCTGACAGGACTTCGGAGCGCCTCTGTGTGGGGAGACCGCGGGGGTGCTGCCACCCAGGGCCAGGCGCTGGGGAGGAGATGCTGGGTAGGGGGCGCGACTTTACCCCCCTCCTCCAAGTTGTGCCTTTCTTCCTTTCTCTTTCTTTCTTTCTTTTCCTTTTTTTTGTTTTGCTTTTTGGGTCACACCCAGCAATGCACTGGGGGTTACTCCTGGCTCATGCACTCAGGAATTACTCCTGGGGGTACTCAGGGGACCATATGGGATTCTGGGAATCGAACCCCTGTCTGCCGCGTGCAAGACAAATGCCCTATCCGCTGTGCTCTCTAGCCCCCCAAGTTGTGCTTTTCCTGGTCCCTGAGTCCAATCAGAATGTCAGTAGATATTAGAAGTTCTCTCGTGATGCTCAAGCCTACTTGCTCTGAGATCTTGGAGAAATCATCTTTTCTTTGTGGACTCTCAGTTGTGTTTCCCGTAAGAGGAAAGGGGATGGATCAGATCAGGAAGGGAAAGGCTGTTTTTCTCTTTGCCTCCCTCTCCACCGTGTCAGGTGCTGCCTAAGAGAGGAGGCTTTCTTGGCTTTGCTGAAAGCCATTTCCCTCTGCTGATTCTACATTTCCCATGCTCAGCACAGCAGACGCAGGAAGGCCCCTTATCAACAGTCTCTTATTTGAAATTCATACTAGCCTTAGATGAAGGTAATATTATCATATCATATGTGCAAATACTAAGGCTCACAGTGTGACTTGCCCAGGTCACCGAGTTTCTGGAAAAGAGGGGACCAGTGTTTTTTTTTTTTTATGATAAAGCTGCTATTTCACCCCCCACGTAGTTTTAGTAATCTAAGAATTAAGTCAGCAGCACCAATAATATGACATTTCCATTGATCATCTGGCCCATGGCAAGTGCCCAATAAATTTTCACTGGCAGAAATACTAAGTCTGTTTACTAAAGACTCACTGGTGTGACAAGGGTATACGGAAGGATAAAACTACTTCGATCTTGAAGGGGATAGCAGAATGCTCCTTGTAAAACAGCTCCAATGAAGTTGAGATCAGGGAGAGGGCACTTGATCAAGATTTGACTGGAGAAATGAAATAATATTTACTGAGTTCTTCCCACACACCGAGAAGCCATGCCAGATTATTTACAGATGGTTACTGCTCCTCTTTTTCTATCATGACTCTGTGAAATAGACAATTCTTGCTTTTAAAAAACAATCTTTGGGGCTGGAGCAATAGCACAGCGGGTAGGGCATTTGCCTTGCACGCGGCGGACCCAGGTTCGATTCCCAGCATCCCATATGATCCCCCGAGCACCGCCAGGAGTAATTCCTGAGTGCATGAGCCAGGAGTGGCCCCTGTGCATCACCGGGTGTGACCCAAAAAGCAAATAAATAAGTAAAGAAATAACAGTCTTTAAAATAGGGGCCACACCCAGTGGTTTGGGCAGGGGGTGGGGAGGAACCACTCTTGGTGATAGGGCCTGATTCTTCAGTGCTCAGGCCCAGCTCTGTGTTGCTTGGGTCCAGCAGTGCTCATGTGTCACCACGATGAGTGTGGGTCCAGTTGTGCCCAGGAGCAGAGCAGTATCTTATGGGCCAAGCCTCTCACATGCCAGCTGTTTCTGACCCATATCCCTGGTTCCTAAAATATTTTTCTAATTGAGGTCACATTGGTTTGTGACATTGTATGTTTTAGGGATGATCTTTCACATTTCTTTGAAAATCAGTTGTAACACATGCCTACCACTGGACCCCCTTAACCCATTGTGCCCTCTACGCTTTCCATCTGGCACCTCAATCCTTGATCCTAGGGTTGATTTACCTGTTTCCTTGCTTTGTTTCTTTATTTCTACATGTAAGTGAGATCATCTGGTATTTATATTTTTCTGACATCAGTTTTGCTCACATTATACCCTCCACCTCTATCCATCTTGTCTCAATGGCAAGACTTCATCATTTCCTGTAACTGAAAACATTCTATTGTATATGCAGACAATACATTCATCTGCTCACCTATCACTGGGTGTTTGGGTTGTTTTCATATTTTGGCTACTGTAAATAGTGCTGCAGTGAATACTGCAATGAACATAATAGTGGACATGTCCTTTTCATTAATTATAGGGGCCAGACTTAGCAGACCTGGGACCCACAGGCTGGGCAGCCTGGCTATTGGGTGCTGGGTTCCAGTGATGTAGTGCTTCTTGGCCCATGGAAGCTTTGGCCACTACATCTGTGGTGCCAAGGATCAAACTTTGGGCCTCACATGCCCTAGGTATGTGCTCTACCACACATGTGATATCTCACCAGCTCTATTTATCCTTATTAGTTAGTATTTTTATAATTATTAAAATTTCTCTGTATTTGACCAAAACAGCGAAGCTTGGGGTTTATTCCTGGCTCTGCACTCAGGAATTACTCCTGGGAGTGTTAGGGGGACCATATGGGATGCTGAGGCTCAAACCTGGGTCATTGTACCTGCTGTACTATTGCTTCTGCCCTATTTTCTCTATTTTAAGATAAAAATGTTACCACATTTGGTAACATTTTGCTTTTGCTGTCACAGGTGCCATGACTTGCCTAGGAGTGCATTTAAGGAGTGTAGAAAAGATTTTTTTTTAACCTTTCACAAAAAAGTCCATACCATGTCTACTCTCAAATGTTGGCTGTGAGGCTTGGGTAAAGTTCCCTTAATTTATGCCCCTCAGTTTCTTTTCCAACCAAATGGGTTTACTCTCTGGCCTTTCATCTTTACTTCTCAGTTTTTTTTAGGGATAAAAGAAGATAAAGTGGGGCTGGAGCGATAGCACAGCGGGTAGGGAGGGTGTTTGCCTTGCACGCGGCTGACCTGGGTTCGATTCCCAGCATCCCATAAGGTCCTCCGAGCACCACCAGGAGTAATTCCTGAGTGCAGAACCAGGAGTAACCCCTGAGCATCGCCGGGTGTGACCCAAAAAGAAGAAAAAAAAAAAGATAAAGGATATGGAAGTACAGATTCAATCTGTGTTTATCAATCTTGCTTGGTTCTCCTAGGCAAAGGAAATAATTAAGAAAGTGAGCAATTAATTATGTAAAGAAATGTTATGGTTGAATTTATAATAATTAAGAATAGAAAAATAAATATGCATTAAAGGTTTGAACATCATAGGATGAAATATAATATAGTTGATTGAAATTGTTAATAAACAGGTTTTTCTCCCTTCAAAAGTCCTCATAGGTCGGGGCTGGAGAGATAGCACAGCGGGTAGGGTGTTTGCCTTGCACGCGGCTGACCTGGGTTCGCTTCCCAGCATCCCATATGGTCCCCTGAGCACCGCCAGGAGTAACCCCTGTGCATCACCAGGTGTGACCCAAAAAGCAAAAAAAAAAAAAAGTTCTCATGGGAGAGAAGAAAAGTGTCTGCTGAGGCAGGCAGGTGGGGGAGATGGCAGGAGAGAAACTGGGGACATTGGTGGAGGGAAAGGAACACCGGTAAAGAGTTGGGTGTGGGAACATTGTATGACTGAAACCCAATCATGATCACCTTTGTATCTGTGTATCTCATGGTGATTCAATTTTTGAAAACAGTCCTCTGAGGAAACACCTCCAGGAGAATTTTCTTGAGCACCACTGTCTCCAGGTCGGGGCAGACCACCTCTCACGGGCTCACTCCTTCTCATCATTATCTGATCCTTGTTACCCTGTGCTAACAAACTTTTAACTCTTCGTTAATGAGACAACATTCTGATTCATATGTGTAATTCCCTATGTCCAGCACAGGACTTGATCCAGAGCAACAGGTTCAGTAAATATTTGCTGTGGAAATGAAGGGGGGCACTTGGGTTCCACCCCCAGCCCGAGACAACATTGGGGGCAGGTGCACTGAGTCTTTCCTCAGGGGTGCCGGGGTGGTTCAGAGTGAGTGTGACAGCCATGAAAAGGTTGATGACTCGGGGTGACACTAGGGGTGTGTCCAGGAGTGACCGTAGGCTTCTTTTGCAGATGGCTTCCGTGACCGACAGCAAAGCTGGTGTCAAAGATGCTTCTGACCAGAATTTTGACTACATGTTCAAGCTGCTCATCATTGGCAACAGCAGTGTTGGCAAGACCTCCTTCCTTTTCCGCTATGCCGATGACACCTTCACCCCGGCCTTTGTGAGCACCGTGGGCATCGACTTCAAGGTGAAGACCGTCTACCGCCATGAGAAACGAGTGAAGCTGCAGATCTGGGTAAGTCTTGGCCATCTGGGGAAGGGTTGTCCTGAGAGATAACTTGTCAGCTTATACAGAGGCCAGGAGTAGGCCAGTTTGGAACTCCTGGGTTTTATGGTAGAAGGTTCTGATCGATGCAGTTTCAGATCTGGCCCATGGGCTGCCCCTTGCAGGTTTTATACAAGTTCCTTTGGGAGCTCAGTTATTTCCATGGCTTAACTATGCAAGAGGCTCTGTCCTGGTCGCAAATGAATCACCAAGAATCTGGCCTTTGGAGTTAAAAGACCTGAGTTCAAATTCCAGTTCTGCCACTTATCTGTTGTGTGAGTTTGACTAAATCAATTAACCTCTTTGGGGATTAGAATAGCAAAAAAAAAAAAAAAAAGCACATTGATTGTTTACAGCTGTATTTATAATCTATCATTGCCTAACAGATCACTCCAAAACTTGCGGGCTTCAAATAATGCTAATAACACGTCACACAGTAGAGCTTTCAAATCATGTATTCTTTATTATTTGTCCATTTTGCTTGCTAAATATAAGTTAATACATTATGAATACATCTTATTGGTATAGTTTATATACATACTTTTGATAATTATATCCATATAGCAATATTATCTCATAATTAACCTTTGAGGCAGATATTTTTTCAGACGTTATTTTTAAACTGTCTTACAGGAAATATACAAATTTAGAGATTAAGTAATCTGCTTTAGGAATATCAAATAACTGCAAAATGGGATTCTAACTCAGATCTTTAGTTCTGGTGTTCTTTTGTCTATAATGTATATTAGGCCCTACAGTGCACATATTTACAAAAATTTAAAGTTTATCTTGTTTTTTTACTCTATTATTATTATTTTGTTCATATTTTGGGTCACACCTGGCCATTTTCAGGGCTTACTCTTTTTATTTCAAAAATTTTATATTATTATTATTTAAAAAAATTTTTTTAGTGAAACACCATGAAGTACAGTTGTAGATTTAAAAATTTTTGTGCTTGGGTTTCAGTTATAAAGTGATCGAGTACCCATCCCTCCACCAGTGCCCATTCTCCACCACCAATGATCCCAGTATCCCTCCCACCCCCTATCCCCCCCATCCCACCCTGCCTCTGTGGCAGGGCATTCCCTTTTGTTCTCTCTCTCTTTTTGGGTGCTGTGGTTTGCAAAAGAGGCATTGAGTGGCAATCATGTTTGGTTTACAGTCTACTTTCAGCATGCATCTCCCCATCCTGGGAGGATCTTCCCAACACCCTTTATTTGGTGCTTCCCAGGGCTTAATCTTGACTCTATGCTCAAGGATCACTTCTGATGGGGCTTAGGGGACCATCTGGGCTGCCAGGGATTGAGTCAGGGTTTGTGCCAGGCCAGGGCCCTACTGCTGTACTATCTCTCTGGCCTTTTATTCATTGTATTAAAAACAATGAAGAGTCAGGGAGATGGTTCAGAGATCTGGAGCACATGCCTTGCATGCAGGAGGCCAGGTTCAATCCCTGGCACAGCATGGTCTCCTGAGCATTGCCAGGTGTAGCTCTCCCTCTTCCCCTGCGATGCAAACTAAAGCATTAGGAAGCAGACATCTGTAGAGACAGGAGTGGCTTTACCAATATCTTGCTCACTGCTCCTGGACGTGTGTGTCCAGGTCAGCAGCAGCAATACTCCTGGGAGCTTGGTAGAAATGCAAATTCCGATTCCCCTCGGATCCTTTAAATCAGAAACGTTGATTTAGTGTGGCTCAACATTCTGCTGTCACACGCCTTACAGGTGATTTTGAGGGGACCTGAAATGGAAGAACCAGTGATGTATTGAAACTGCTGCATGGCGAGAATCAATAAGCATTTGTAAAGAGCAGTTATGTGCCAAGTGCTTCCACCTGTGTTGCTTGACGTCATGCCATCATCCCAGCAGCCAGTGCACAGAGCGGGGGAGAGGCAGGATATTTGGGGCATGTGAGCATTACAGTGAAACTGGAGCAAGGCTGTGAAAGCAGAAAAGCAGATAAGGGGCACTGAGAAATTTGCTGGAGAGGCGATGGAGCTGGGGGTGGATGGCGGTGGGGGACAGAGAGGCCTTGACCAACAAACAGAAAGTTCTGCCATGGACCAGAGGGCATGTCTCCTTAGGGAGCTGAAGAAACAGTTACAGTTTATTTTTAACCATGAATAGAAAATAAATGTTTACTATGTGAATTGAAAGGGGTGGAAGGATAGCACAGTGGTAGGGCATTTGCCTTGCACGCATCCAGCCCGGCCGAGCCGGGTTCGATTCCTCTGCCCCTCTCGGAGAGCCCGGAAAGCTACTGAGAGTATCTCGCCCGCACAGCAAAGCCTGGCAAGCTACCTGTGATGTATTCGATATGTCAAACACAGTAACAACAAGTCTCATGATGGAGATGTTACTGGACCCACTCGAGCAAATCGATGAACCACAGGAGGACAGTAAATTGAAACAGATACCTTCATTTGATCTCCACATCAGATGATAACATCTCCGACATGCAGACTCTCTGAGTGATGTTCTGACATTGTGAGGATTTGGCCATGAGGGTTTATCATACGCTATTCATTTTCAGCTCATTTTGAGCTTTTGCAGTTTTGCTGTGCCTTGGTTTATTTATTATTCTACCTCTTTTTATCCAAAATGAGCCTGCACAAAACAGACTGTGTGGCCTTCAAAGAGTACTTGCAAAGAAACCTCTGATTGAAGACAATATTAATTATAAGGAACCTAAGTGAGTACAGAAAACAATTAAACTGATGCTGCTCTGACTCCTAGAATGAGTTCATTGTCAGTCATGCTTCAAGATAAAATCAATGATGATCTAGTTAGATTTGACATTGCTTTTGATATTACTTGCAGTTGCTTTTGTAAAGAAAAAATAGAGAAAGGTTTGTGTGTATGTGTATGTGTTTTCCTATAGCAAAACCCAAATTTTCTATACTGTTTATAGATACATATAAATACTATCTATAGATACACATAAATACTGTTTAGAGACACATAAATATTACTTTTCACTTTTATGTATTTTTAACATCTTTGCATAGAAGTAAATATGCATCAATAAAAAAACATTATGAATGCTGTCCTTACATTTTTCTTACCTGGAGAGACACACATTTGTAGACCACAGGCATTGGGGAAGTCCAGAAGGATTTTAAGAAGGTCCAGTATTCATTGTAGAAAAATATGCACTTTCAGGTTCTGATGGAATCAAGGCAAACAGCAGTGACCAAAAAAAATAGTCAAAGAGATGAGGGAAATTGTAAGGGTTTAGATTAAGTAATGTAGTTGGCTTGGGCTAAAATATCAAAGGTGGTAGACATAGGCTACAGAAAAGTATTTTTCTCACAGCTCTGGGGATGGAAAGTCCAGAAACAAGGTTGGCAGGGTTGTCGTCTGGCGCTGTCTCTCCCCACGTGTGACAGAGGACTGCCTTCTGGCTGTGTGCTCACATAGCCTTTCCTTGGCGTTTACATATGGAGAGAAAGTGAGAAAACCCTTTGTTCTCTTTCAGTTTACTTTTATTCCGTTTTTGAGCCACACTGGGTGGTGTACAAGGAATACTCCTGGCTTGGGACTCAGAAGTTGCGGTGATCCTGGGGATGTGCAGGGGACTATGTGGTGCCAGGGGTTGAATCTGGGGCTCTAACATGCAAAGCCTGTGCTCCATCCCTTTGAGCCATCTCTTTATCCTCTAGTATTATTTTTATAATGCACTTATCTTATTAGTTCAGAGCCCCCTTCCTTAGACTTTCCATATCCAAATATAACTGTATTGAGGGGAAGTGCCCATTAGAGTTTCAACAAATCCATTTTAGAATACAAACATTTAGTCCCTAACACTAAGATAATAGCAAAATAATCTAAGTGTGAGAAATGAGAGCAGTTTATGAGTAGAATATACAGAATTTCATGATCAATTAATTACATAGAATCAATAAATTACACAATTAAAACAGGGAAGGAGGAATACATAGTCAACTTAAATATGTCAATATGAATTCATCTAGTTTTATACAAAAATTTTGGTGATTTTTTAAAGGGGGGGTTGGTTTTGGATCAAACCTGGTGGTGTTTGGAGGGCTAGGTAGCCCTATCCTTGTGGCATACAAGGCTTGTGCTCCTTTGAGACATCTCTCTGGGCTAAATGTTTTGTGATTTTTTTGGTTTGATTTTTTTGCCACAGCGAGTGGGGGCTCAGGACTTCCTCCTAGGTCTGCACTCAGAGAGCACTCCTGATGGTGCTCAAGGGACCATGTGGGATGCTGGGACAGGCAGCATGCAAGGCAAAAACCCTACCTGCTGTATTATTGCTTTGCTCTTGTGTTTTTTACAAAACTCTCTTTGCATTCGGACACCATCTCACCATTGTGCTGGGCACATTCAGTATGCAGCCAGCCTTCTTCCTTTCTCTGTTCCCGATGCACATGCAAAGACTGTGGCTCCCTACCTGGGCTTCAGGAGTTCTGGGACAGCACCCAGGGACTCCCTCGCTGTATGAGAAGCACTTCACACTCCTTCAGCTCATTCAGCTGCTCATAGAGTGTTTCAATGTAGATTGCGGAGAGGGAAGAGGAGATTAGCAGCATCATTGAGCCAAATCATTCACAAAAAAGAGTTTTTATCACCTCTGGGGTTGTGGGCCTTGAGGGCTTTGGTAGTGCCCTGGGCCCCCTGGCACATAGGTCCTAGAGAGTCCCATCTGTTTCCTGAGAGATTAATTATTGAGAATCAGAGACTCTTAAGGGGAGGTGGAGGTAGGAAGTCTCCTTAATAGGGAGTGAGAATATGCACAGGTGTGAAGGGAGGGAGCCTTGGTTCCACAACAACAGCCTGACTAGAGGCCACTGGCTGCGGGTGCTGGTTGCCAAGCAACCCTTTGAACATCTGTGGGAAGAGAAGAGCAGAGAGTCCCTCACTCTGTCCAAGCAGGGCTTGTGACAAAGGTTGTTGAATCTGGGGCCAGTCAAAAGAAAAGTCAGGGGGTCTGTGGAGGACCAGGCTGATGAG